TCACTTATATCATCCATTGACATATCTCCTTCTAGTGCGCGTACAATCTATCAATTTACATTACATGTTACAAGATTCATAAGTAATGTTATCAAGATTGTGATTATTAACAAAAAGAATAAAGAAAGTGTTTTGATTTTTTGGTACCTGGCTCATCTTAGGCCATCTTCTCGCTGAGTGTCTGATTGCTGCAGCTGCACAAGAAGCCATTCGAGCCATCTCTTGTTGGTCGTAGTTTGTCTCTAGACGCGGATCTGCTAATTGGCTGTAATCTCCGTCTTGAGCTGCTTTCAAACACAAAGGCCTTGCCTACAATTATATATAGTAAGATTAGGCTCCTATATTTGAAGAATTAAACCCAAGAGGCGGACCGACTTACCCAATCTACCAAGCTGTCTTCCATTTCTCCAGTTAGATCAACTGGAGGTCGTCCGGTTATTAGCTCAAGAAGCATTACTCCAAATGAGAAAACATCAGATTTGTCAGATAACTTTCCGCTTGATGCATACTCTGGAGCTAAGTATCTGAATCAAAGAAAATGTTAAAGACAAATGAAACAAAGCGAATAAGTGCGAATGAATCAAGACAGTTTACAAAAGCTGTTTACCCGAAAGTTCCCATGACTCGAGTGGAGACATGAGTATAGTTGTCTTGAGATAGCTTAGCTAATCCGAAATCTGCCACCTATGTATATACGCAATAGAACAATAGACTGATACACACATCGACACATATTCGGGGAGAAAATGAAGGTAAAAGTACACAGTACATACCTGAGTTTCAAAACTGTAATCAAGAAGAATGTTTGCAGCTTTGATATCTCTATGGATAATGCGAGGATGACCTACCAATTGATGTATAATACACAATCTTTAACTTCATATAGAGAGCGAAAAAGAAACTATATCGCGAGTGAAAGAAAGAATTTCATACAGTCTTCATGCAAATATGCAAGGCCTCTAGCTGATCCCAATGCAATCTTCACTCGTATAGACCATTCCATAACCGGACGACCTTTTCCTGAAATTTCAATCATACTATTATAAAAAGAGTAACCGTACTTCAAAATGTTAATTCAAGCAAATGTTATGTTAAATGAATGTACCATGAAGATGGAATTCAAGAGTGTTATTAGGTAAAAACTCATAAACCAAAAGTCTTTGACCACCAGAGATGCAATATCCAACAAGAGAGACGAGATGACGATGATGGACACGGCTAATGATCTCGACCTCTGCTTGAAACTCGCGCTCTCCTTGTCCGCTTCCAAGTTTAAGACTCTTCACTGCAACTTCTTTACCACTAGGCAAAACCCCTTTATGAACATTCCCAAATCCTCCTTGTCCTAGCAAATTAGACTGAGAGAAACCTTCTGTTGCAATGGACAGTTCATCGTAAGTGAAAGTGCTTTGGTTATGACCAAGAGTCTTAGCTTGAGGTGACGGTGTAGCAGGAGTTCGACCGGTTACGTTGGAACTATCGCTATGAGGACCGGACACAGGTTGTTGTGGTCCCCAGTTACCACCTCCTTGAGAAGCCATATTCACTACATGATCTTGAGGTGTCCCATTGTTGTAATAACCACCATTACCTACACTATGCAACAACTCCTTCAGCTTCTATAAAGCCTAATCCTTTTGCACACTATACCACATTTGATTACATGGCGATGAAACTAGTACAAACCACTAAACTACAAGCTCTAATAGACACACTAGTACCGGGTTTGATTACACGACGATGAAGTTAGTATAAACCACTAGACTACGAGCTCTAATCGTTCTGAAACCGAATATATTGATTTATGTTAAAACATTTGATTACCTGAGGGTGCTCCAAAGGGATTGTTATTGTAGTAGTGCATGTGATTAACCTGAGGAGATCGTTTCTTCTTCTTCTTGTTGCAACAAACACAAATAAGCACTAGAAGTAGAAGCAGTAGCCCTGCTCCTGCAAGAACTCCAATAATCAATCCAATGTTGGCTTGTTGATGTCCTGATGATAATGATGAGTCAGAATCTCCACTATTCCGAGGAGGGCTTATCGACCGAGGAGGCGAGCCACCGTCACCTGAAGTTCTGTTTCCAGAAGACGGTGGAGACGGTATGGAACCGTCTCTGTTATTACCATTGTTGTTACCTCCATTGGTTCTGTTACGGTCATCATTAGCACCAGGTGATGTAGGAGTTGGTCTTTGTGAAGGTGGTGATTGGTTAGTCGGTGTTTGAGGCGGTGCCGGTGGTGTTACTGGCAATGAACCTTCAGGGGAAGGTGGAGAAGGATTCTCTGTAGTTTGCGGCGGCGGATTAGCTACGACCGGTGGTGATGTTGTTGATGGAGGAGGTGAGGTTTCTTGTTTCGGCGGAGCAGGCGGTGGTGAAGAACCGGAGTTATTGTTATTAGGCGGAGGAGCAGAGTTTGAGGACGGTGGTGGTTGAGAAGGTGGTGTAGGAGGTGATGTACCGTTTGACGGCGAAGACCCATCTGACGGTGAACCTGCATTAGGAGTTTCCGGTGCAGCAGGTGAATTCTCCGGCGAGTCCGCCATTATTGTTGTCTTTTGTTTTTACTCGGTGAAAGGTTTCTCAACGGTGGAGAAACCTTTTCCCCGGTGATCCTTGACACAACAGCCTTGTGTTCCAAGCAAAAACCAATAGCTTTTATGCAATTGAAACCCTAAAATTTGGAGAAAGTTTTCACACCAAGAAGATTG